TGGAGGAAGATGGGCATGGATGTTAGCCCAGGGACAGTCTTCCTCAGCAAAAAGAGGAGGATTGGCAGATGTTAGCTCAGGGCCGATCTTCCTCACAAAAAAAAAAAAAATGGGCAGAGGCTATGAACAGACATTTTTCCAAGGAAGATGAACAGATGGCCAATAGGCACAGGAAAAGATGTTCAAAAAGTCAAATAAAGTCAAATTTTTTCCTTCAACATCCTCCAGCTGAGGTTGCCATAAGGCTTATTCATAAATTTAGAGGCAAAACAGATGGTTATGTCTTCGGGGGAAACATTTTTATTGTATTTTTCTCAAGTATCAGTCCCTGAGAGTTGCGGGGGGGAGGGTGGCTCATCCTTCTCCAGAGGTACTTTGAGAGCATCACTTTAGAGGACAGGGGCTATTTTTCCTGATAGCTCCACTCCAATCCTGACTCAATTTTCATATTTTTAAAGTGACATGGAGAGGCAGTTTTATGCATAATGACCTATAAGATATTTTAATTCTAACAGCAGAACTCAAGTACATTGTTTAGGAGAAGGGATCCTGAAGCTCACCCATCATTTTGACTTTCAGAATCAGAGAGGCTTGAGGATATGAAGCACACCGCGAGAGGGGGCTGATGAAACTCTACGCACGACGGTCAGAACTTTAATCCTCTTCTGCCACTAGACTCCTTGAATGGTAACAACCAGTTTTATATCCTTAGGCAAGAGACTGAAAAATGTCCCCACTGGCAAAGCTATACAGACAGACACACACACACACACACACACACACAAGATCTACAGCTACTGATATGTGGGCAGCACCACATGATAAAGCTGTTTCCACCTGAATATTGAACAGTGAAGCTCATATAGGGCTTCTCATCTGTTTTTCTGTGCCTTAATCCTCAGAATGAATGGACACCAAGGATCACTAGACATTCAAGGAAAGTCTCTAATGGGAAAGACAGAAACGAAAACAAATAGAAGAAATAAAGGAATGTGGAAAACAAAAACAATGCCGAGAAAAATTCAAAAATACTTAAAATAAATAAATAAAATCTTTAAGAGAAATGAGAAGATATTATAACCATAAAATACAAATAGGATGCAATTTTTAAAATAAAATAACAAAAAACTTTAAAAAATGTTTTAAGTAATAACAAAAATAAAATACCTAATTAAAAAATTGAAGACAAAATCAAGTAAATCTTCCAGAAGATAGAATAAAAAGATAAGATGAGGCCGGCCCCGTGGCTTAGCAGTTAAG